TACAAAAAATATTTGATCGGCTACGTGTGCTAAACTCAAAGGTAAAGTACCTTCTAGAATATGATAGTTCTTTATGCGACCAATAGCACGCTCAACATGTATCCTCACTGATGCAATGCGGGCTGTTTCCTGGACTTCATCAGCTGTCAGCTGGTCTCTGATGCCCTTAAAAGGTGGGATATTCAGGTGACAGCCTGGTGGCAAAATACCACCAATATCAAATCCTCTGTCAGCCATTACATTGTCCCCAGGTTCTAATAAGTGCATCACTCCTGATTGTTGTGTGATTTCCTTGTCAGAAACACGGCCACCCCATAGCTTTGACACAAATGTCACTTGACCATTTGGTGATATTCCTACTAATACTTTGAAAGTGTTATGATGCTTGTAGTTGGACCATGTCTGTGACTGTGCAAGCATTGAAGATGGAACTTCAACATAAAGCTCAGTGCAATCAAGAATGATACGAGTAGTTGGATACAATCTAAACTGATCAGGCATGTTCTTCCTTACAAGATACTGTGCAGGAAAGGGAAATACCAACTGCAATTCTAGCTTTAGAAAGTTCACCCAGGTACAAAATATTCTGGAAAATTGTCCAGGAGATATTCCAAACCTACTTGCAATATCCTTAACAAAGAGACCAACTTTCAATCTTACCAAAACCATAAAAAATTCAGTAAGTGGTGAAAGTTTTCGCTTTGGCCCAGGCTTTCTTCTTCCCTCTTCTTGATACGCATATGAATCTGGTGCATTGCATTTATTCCAGTATTGCAGCTTTGCAAGTTTTTCTTTGAAATATTCATAAAATCCTATTAAAGTCTCATAGCTTGGAAAGCCAGTGTAAAATGTAATTGCATCATTGTCATCTTTAAAATTATCCAGTTTAAATTCACGATCTTTGTACTCCTCTAGTTCTTGTTGTAGGTTGCCAACTTTCTTTTGTAGATTATCAACCATCTCAGTCTGTACTTGTAACCTTTCTTCCATAGTCAATATGTACTCAGTGCTGTTGTTTGGTGACTTATTCAGTTCAAATGCATAGTTATGGTCATGAGAAATAGGTGCACAGTTGGACAGCAGAGGCCATGAGATATCAGTTTGGGTTGACACATCACACTAAAAAAAATATGAAATCAAAATTAAACTGGTTTCAACCTATTTACACAAACTAGCTTTTTCATGTGATAACGTAGGTTGTTTGCCATGGACATTAAAGAACATTGCAGCACAAAGATGCAAGCTTTATGGTTATTTTAGGACAACTTTCTAAGGTTTATGCATAATTAACTATGGTTAATTAATTATGGTTTATGTTACCATAAGTGAAGGCAAGCATTCTGAATGAATTGCTTCAACATGAAACACTTCCTGGTCCTCCGGTTCATTCGAATTCTGAAAGGTTTCGTAGCCCATATTTACAGTCGTATTACATGTTGATGTGGTGGTTGTTGGTTCGGTTGTTGTCCCCTTTGAAGTTGTGGTGGTTGTTGGTTCGGTTGTTGTCACTTTTGAAGTTGTGGTGTCTGTCGAATTGACTGACATTGGGATTCGTAGTTTTGGTGACGCTCTTTTCTGTTTACAGATACCAGACGTCCACCGAAATATCGATGGTTCAGCTCCTGAAATGAATATATTTTATCAGTTCATTGTGTTTATAATTTGAGAATGGACTCGTTTACGTAAAGCAGCTACAACTTAGCTGAATCAACTTATATAAACTCTTACCATCACGTAATCTACTTCTACTTCCTCCTGGACGTTTGAAGATGTCACTAGCAGGAAAATTCTGTTCGCAAATAACAGTATTTGAAGTAACTACGAACCTATCTCGACCGTTGTGTCTCTTGATAAGGTTGCACCATCGCTGTATTAATGAACGCTTTTTCGGGAAGTGAAAAAATCGCAAGCCAGACGATTTTCCAGTGCGTAAATATTCTGTATTCGTACATTCAGAGGCCGCACACTCCTTTCCTCGTCTCGCTTGCTTCTTTCTAGTAGTTTTGTGCTCCATTTTCGATTATATTAGCGATTGTGTGGTGAACAGACGAGATGCGACTCAGGATAAGCCTCACTTTCGTGCACCAGCGTGAGCCTTCACGGTCTTAGTCAGCGGATGTTCCGAGTGACCCTAAAAGGG